AAATAAATTAAGATAATTAAAATATAGAGAATTTTATTTACCTCCGTCATATCATCTTTAGCATCTTCATCTTTCATTTCAAAACGTAATGCAATATTTTCATTATCCATTGAAATTTCATTAGGAAAATGATGTGTATGCTAAATAAATAAGAAAAAAAAACAAATAAGTATGCAAAATGAAAAACTCAATCATAATAAACTTTAGCATCTGCAACTATTTTTTTTGTTGTTGCTTTTAAACTTTGATCATCAGACAAATCGTCCAAATTAAAAGCTGCATTATTTGATGGTTTTGTAGTTTGTAATCGAAGCATTTGCTAAATTGATAATGAAAAATTTTACTTTCTATAATAAATACAAAAAAAAAATTATAATTTACATTTTCCAAAATTTTTGTTTGTGTTTCTAATTCAAGTGTTTTAAGTTCAGCAGATTTAATACCTGATTCTAAGGTATCTTTTCGTTCGTCAGCCTAGATGAAAAAAAAATCGGCCAATGTTTCACATTTTATAAACAAAGGAAAAACTTGAAACAAACTTTTTTTCGAATTTCATCATCTAATCGATGTAATTCAGCTTCTTTAAGTAAATGCTGTTGATGAAGCATTTTACGACGAGCTACATCAAGTAATTGCATTTCACGTACCTAACAAATTTCAATAGAATGAATTTATATTAAGAAAATATCTTACTTTGATTTCTTGATTAAGCATTTGAAGTCTATTCAAAAGAAAAATTTGTTAGTATAATCTCTGCAAGATTAAAATGTGAAACACGATGTAGTTGATATTGCTAATCACAGGAAACAGAGATGACAACAGTACCAGTTACCAGTCGGTTCGATCTAGTATCGGTGTGTCTTATTAATCTATTTTGGTCTTAGTATCCCATAGAGGATGTGTAATGAAACTTTATTGAAAGTTGACTATGTCAAATATCACTATCCACAGATGGAATAGTACGACAACTCGTCAGTTCAATGTCGGTATGAATTTCAGACCAGCCAGTCCAGCGTGGTCAGATCGTATATCAATAACGCCTATCACGGTTTGTGATGAAGAAGAGACATTGCTAGGGATGCCTATCACGATCTGTGATATGTCGTTGCTGAAATGTCTGTCATGATCAGTGGTGATTTATTCAATTAATGTCGACAAGTACAGATGTCGATAGGAAAATATCGAAATGTTAAAGTTTCGAATAAAAAAGAATCGAAACTAAAATTGTCGAACTATATGCTCTTATGGGTATGAATACCGGTGTGTGTAGATATGGATGAAGAGAGAGAGAGAATCCACGCGCGCACCCATATTCTGTCACAGCAAAATAAATCGCCGTATTCGCAACCATCATTCCCATATATGGTATTTTATAAAATTCATGCAAGTAGAAGAAAAACGATTTCAGACAATTGTCATTCAATGGTCTGCTAGAGTATTAGAAAAAAATATAGATATGCGATAATATTGATACAAAATTGTCTCAACACTCTTTATGTTCGATATAATGATGGTGTCATCAGCTCATTAAGTCTTCTCTCTGATTTGTCATTCCTTGTTGAAACGCAAAAAATTAGAAAATGTTTCACAAAATATAAGATTATTCGATATGTTTTCGATAAAAATCAAGAGACATACTTATTTTTCTGTTCCTTAACTCGAGTATCTTCTTCTAATAATAATTTACGTCGTTTTTCTTCAGCTTCAATTAATAATTGCTATAAAAAAACAAACAAAAGAATTAAATTGAATAATGATCTTTAAAAACTTGTAAAACCTGTTGTCGAAGCCATGATTCTTCTTCATGTCGACGTTGTTGTCGTTCACGATACATTTCAACATTAAGTTCACTAAAAAACAACAAAAAGAGAATCTTGATTATTAATTATTCAATTATTCATATTACCGTTGTCGAATATAATTCATTTCTTCTTCTCGTAATTTTTCTTTTTCTTGTATTTGATAATCAACAATAAATTTTGGATATTTATTAAAAACAGGATATTGTCCACGTGTTAATGGTTGAAATGATTCAATCATACGTTTTGGATCAATATCAACTGGTGTAACTTCACTAAGACGATAAGCTTCAGTAAGAATTGTTTGTACTGATATAGGATTTCGATGATGAAAAAAATATTTAAAATCATCAAGTTCAGTAACACGTAAAAGAGCACTTCGATTATTAATACAATATGATGTAACAATATAGAGAATAAATGATGGATGATTACTAAATATATGATCAAATAAACAAAGCCATTCATCACGATTAAATATTTCGGAAAAGAATGTTTCAAGAAGAGGCCATGCATAAATCTTTTAAAAAAAATAATAATTTTAATAATCTTTTATCAAGAAAAAAAAATTTTCTTTCTTTCTTTTTTTTTGTAATTTCTTACTTGTGATGTTACTTTATAACGTATAAAATATGCAAGCAATGTATGATCATGATGTGTTAGTAAATTTTCAATCATTCCTTTAATAAAAAATAAATTCAAAAGTTGCAAAGATTCAGTAGGTCTTTTTATATTGTGACTGATGTGAGTATATGAAATCATTTATTGAACTAGATTTTGAACTTTTTAAGATGAGAAAAAAAAGTGATATTTCATATTTCAATTGTCAAAAGTTGATTTTTCTGAAAAATAAGGATGATATTCAGAATCAGCATACAGAAATACACTAGAATCAGATATTTTATTGTGAAATATTTTCAAAGGAAATTTCATTTGTACAGAAGCATAGGAAAAAATTTAAAAAAAAAGGCTGAGGAAATGTAGAAATCAAATATTACTGAAAAACATTTTACGATAAAACATCGGATTTTGATGTACTCGTGTATGCTGATTTCGAATACGAAATTTCTTATACAAAGTTCAACAATAAAAATCTTGAAATAAAATGTATCTAGTTTTTTTGGTATTTTTCTTCTAATTGACGCATAATTAAAACTATTTACTGTTATTTTTTTCTCAGACTAGAAAAGTCCCAGAACTTGATTTATTGATGTCATATTGACCACAATCAAAAGACAGTAACATAAGAATCATCTAGCAGAAGGACAACGAATTCATCGTAGGGAATAAAAATGTACTCATTTATTCATTTAAAATAATACCTAAAATATTAACTGGTGGATTTGGAAAATACATAAACCATAATTGACACCAATTAAAAAGAACCGTAGAAATAACTTCAAAACAAATAAGTTGATTATTTTCAAATAATTTTACAAATGGAAATGATAATAATGGTAAATAATCTGTTTCACCAAATATTGATGACCAATGAGCTAATGCTGATAATACACTAATAAAAACTCAAAACAAATAAAGAAAAAAAACTAATCAATAACTTTCATTTACATACCGTTGCATGATTCTTAATAATTTTCGACTTTTTAATGGATATTGTTGTTGTAATTTAGCAAATGTTAAATGTCCACCTTTTTCAACAAGTGCAGCATATGCAGCATGATTTTCAGGTAAACGAAGAAGACATCGCCAAACGAATGCTCTTTAATTTTTTTGTTTTTAAATAAAAATAAAATCGATTTGTTGAGATTTTCTTTCTATCTTACCGATATTTTCTTGGATATTCACCATAATATCGTAATATTTTATAAAGTTTTTTAAAATTTAAACCTTCAGGTAAATTTCGAAACTAATCAGAAAAGAATTTTTATTGAAAAAATTTCTTTTGTTTGTTTTTCTTTGATAATCTTACTGCTGATTGATCCAGTGTCGATGATGATATACTTGTTTTTTCAGATATTCTTGTTGCATAATGTTGTTTTAATTGAAGACGATCTGATGCTGAATGACTACGTTTTTTAATAGCTAATTTATTTGTTGTTATTGTATTTGTACTTGATGTTATTCGTGATCTCGAGCTTCGTGTTGTTGTTGTTGTTGATCCCTTTGAATATGTTATTTGACTATTTGTATCATTATGAAAATCTTCATTTGAACGTAGTGCACGAACAATTGGTGATGGTGCTCGATTTAATTCTTTCCATGTTGTTGCTAAATCATATATATGTAATTGACCTGATATAAGTGTACATGTACAAAATTTTCCATTGGATGAAAGAAGAAAATGTTGTATAGAATCAGTTTCTTGTCCAATTTGAAATAAATCACGACATGTTTCAATATCAGCAAAACGAAGAATACCATCTTGACAAAGCATAGCAATAATCTTTAAAAAAAAATATTTAAAGAAATTTTTTTTTTGCCGAAGATTAATTCCCAAATCAAGAAATACCATAAATGTCAAGCTTGAAATTTAATTCAACCATTCGCAGAAACACATACAGTATCTCTGTCGGAATACCTGACGAGGGAACTTCTTCAGATGTCAAATTGCTTTTCGATCGAGATTATATTCATTTGATAAATACTAATGAGTTATAGGAAACTTTAGATTTGTTTGGTTTTTCTAGTCTTTGTTCTCGGGATGCTAACTTTTTACTAAGTTTTTTCAACAAAAATCCGTAATTTCTATCAGATCATGTGAAAAACCAACTTTCAAGTTTCGACTTCTTACTTTGCACAAATATCTGAGCTCAAGAATTGAATATCTAAAGCGGTCTTTGATAATTGAATTCAACTTTTAGGTTTGATACAGTTGAGAAATGCGAGTCGATTTTGACTGAAAAATCGTAGGAACTTGGAAGCAAGAATCGATTGACCGACTCTATTCAGTTTCGACAAGAACTGAAAGAATCCAACTATTGGATTCCTATTTTCCATTTCATATTATTTTTTCAAGTTTTTCGACAGAAATCTACGGATTCGAAATGTCACCATCGTTGATCTAGGTTTTTTTGAGTTCATACTTTATGTGAACCGCCATCAAAACTTTGACTAAGAAATGCCATTTCTTTAATTTCTTTAATTGCTTTTGGTAATTCAATGATTTTTATTAATTTATGTGTTTCTAAGTTCCATATTTGTAAATAACTTGATTTACCACCACAAACAAGTATACTGCCATCACTAAAATAAAAAAAAAGAATATTTTAATTAATTTGAAAATGATTTTGTTTTATTTCAATATACTTGGTAACAGCAAATGCTCGATAAAATGGTGGATTTTTTTCTGGTACAACTAATTGATATTTAAATTCAAGATTTTTTGCATCCCATACAAGGATAGAATCATCGCGAAAACATGTTAAAATATAATTTGATACAGGACAAAAGAAAGCCTATATATATATATATATATATATCAAATAATAAATAAGAATTTTAATTAAATATTTTCTTACACGAAAAAGACAAACATCATTTTTATTTGTAATTGTTAATTTACGTTTTCGTTCAAATGTTTTTAATTCCCATAGAAAAGCTATTTCAGCTGATGTTGTTATACAAAAATCTCCATTACTATCAACAGATATTTCTTTAACTGGTGTCGTATGACCTTTTAACCAAGCAACAAATTCTTTTTTGTCTAAAACAAAAAAAAAATCTAATTCAATTAAAATATTCTTATCAAATTTTACCAGCATCAAAACATTTGACAGTAAAATCAGGCATAGCAATTAGAAATTCGGATGCATTTCGTAAATTAAATGCAACTGCTGTACAACTTGTACCTGTTCGATGAACAAGTTCAAATCTAAATTGAAAAATAAAATAAAAAACAAACAAAATCAATTTTTGGAATTTTTCTTACTTGTTTCGAATAAGATCAAAAACATAAACATTTCCACGTTGATCAACAGCTAATAATCGTTCACCATTTCGATCAAATCCTGCTTGTAAAAAATGTACTGTTTTTAAGGCTACATCAGCAACATTAAATATGGAATGTAGAACATTAACAAGAAGACTATAATTAAATAAATATTATTTTTAAAATAAAAAATAAAAAATAAACAAAGTCAAATATATACCCATTTTTTCCTGTTACTTTTCGATGCCATATCTGACCACTTTCTTTACCATGTAATTCAAGTGTATTATGCATTATCTGAAAGAAAATAAAATATCTTCTTCTCACATTAATTAAATTTGAGAGTAAGTGTAAAATAATTCAAATGAATCCATTTATATATGTTGAATATGTACATGAACATTGCGACTATAAAATAAGTAGCATTCATTACAAAAAATAAATAATCAAACTAAACAGAAGAAAAGAATTGTACATGATGTTGCGAACATCACATAGCTATAAGCTACTGTTTGATATTGATAAATTAATTTAACAATCATCATAACACTCAATTGGACAATGTTTAGTAGGTGAACACGAGAAAAAATAATCGTTAAAAATTGATGCACGACTTATATCATTGACAATAGAAAATCAACTAATATTCTAGTTATTTTCTTTTTTCTATACTACATAATATCGGTCTGAAATATAAAATAGGTAAGTATCATTTGTTCAAACTTTTGTTCGATTGGCCTTTGGTCTCCATGGAAGATTCTATTGTTATGGAGTTAATGCCCACGTTCAATAGATATTAGTGATTTTACTTCCAGCGCCACCTACTAAAAACCACGTCCAATTGGAAATGACCATCACAGCTTTCGAAAAAGAACAATTCTTTTTTATAATTTCATTTGTCTCCTATCATGACTACAGCTTTAAGATAGTTGATTTTTTAAAATAAAATAAGACAGAAACGTAGTAGACCTAATGAATCATTTTTATAGTGTAGCTCTATTATATTCAGATCAATTTTCGCATAAATATTCAATCTATTGCCAATTGAAAGTAATATTTGTTTTATGAAAAATATAGATTTGCCTTTGTGAATGTTAAAAATGATCTCTACTTGGTTTGACTTAGTCATTTCTGTTTCATTTGAATATTGTTAACCGATAAACAAAAATATTATCCTTCAGTTGCTCATAATATTCAACGCTTGGTCGAACATCATTCTAATTGACATATACAAGTATTATATGGAATCTTGAGAAGTAGTTTTAATATAAAATATGGTTTATCTTCCTAGATCGAAAGCGTACACTCGTAAACGACTGTTTACGGAGGAAAACAGAGATATACGGAGACCGTGCACAGCATCAGTGTACGATGTGTGTATATGATGCCAAACGGTGAAAAATGCATTCCGTATAGGAAGATCGTGTAAAAATACGACGTCATTCAAAAGTAAACTTTTACACTTCGTGTAGAGAGTTATACGACTATCGTATACGATCATATATATCACCGTGTATGGTTGTATACGGTTGCTGTATGTGTAACTTTGAAAATCTGTAGTGGCAGTAGGTGAACATGATCGGATCAACCAAGGAATTAAATAAAGCATTCATGCAGGTATAGAGACTGCTTCTGGCAATTCCATTTGACTATCTTTGTTTCTTTAGTTATATATTTCTCTTGAACTTCTGAACTACCTTACTTACATACATCGTTCGATCCCAACGGTTCGTATGCAACAGTTAGTATGATATTGCCTCACGCTAATGTAGGTTTCTGATTTGTAAACTTCCAAGATGTGTGCTGAAGAAAGAAATTATAAGTATATAGAAAAATCATGTAATTAAGAATTTAGACACAGAATTCGACGCATACTTGAAATATGCAGATTAAGATATGTGTATAAAATATTGATACAGTATATGGAGTAGGGTAGTAGTTATATACTATGTAAATTGTATCTTATAAGAGATTTATAGTTGAGAATATAGATATATCGAAATCAGATATTAATATAACAGGCACAGAAATTAGTCAGTATTTTCTATTTATTTACTTTAATTTATTTTAAATCATTTAATCCAATAGAGTCAATGAATGGTAAGTATTTCTATTTGTTTTAGTTTATTTCATTGATTTCATATGATATCGACACACTGTTTGAATAAACACTGAGTATTATTAATTCATTTAATTTTTTTCTTTTATTTTAGGTCACTAAATCTAGTAAACTTAGTGCATAATAAGTACTTTTTGTTTATTTTATTTGCTCTAGATCATTTAATACACTAGATGTAATGAACAATACATATTTTTATTTGTTTTATTTTATTTATTTTAAATTAATTAATTGAATAGACTTAAAAGGTAGTGAGTAATTTTTATTTGTATTATTTTTTTTAGATTATCGAATCCTAGATTCAGTGAACAGTGGAGTACTTTTTATTTATTCAAACCTATTTTATTTATTTTAGATCATTTAATTGAATAGAATTTATGAAAAATAAGTGTTTTTTTTATTTCATTTTATTTATTAACCTGACTCGAGATGGCCGTAATACATACCAAAAACGATCACATTTTTCACCGTATTTGGTCAAAATGCAACCATTTACGGTCGTTTACGACACCGTATACATGCCATATACGTTTGTTTACGGTCTCCATTTTTCTCCGTATACGGTCACGAAGACATACGACCGTAATACTGGACCATGTAATATGACGAAATGCAATAGTATACAGAGCGTATATGGTATGTAAACGATCGTAGATGACCGTTTACGGAGTCCGTAACAGTCGATCTGGGTTGTTTTGTTTTTCAGGTTGATTGATCAATGAAAAACTCATTTTTTTTACTTAATTGAATTTAATTAAATTAAGACTATTACATATTGTACGACTTGATTAATGATTTGAAACAGATATGTTTGTAAAAGAAAATCATCATTTAATGATTACAGGTATTCATAATTCGAAAATAAGAAATCATATTTTCTATCTATTGAGGATTTTATTTCATAAGTGACTCGATCGTTATGGAATTGTTCCTTCCATCTATGAACTAATAGGAGTTTTATTTTTAGCGCCACCTGCCAAACCAATCTATTTATGGAATGTGGCGTATTATGTTTCCAGGGTCACATAGTAGTACATATGTATGATCAGCTAGAAATCTGAGAATTTTTTTACTATTCTATGGAACCAATAATAGTAATTTGATTAATTTTCCTGCAATAAATAAATAATGACAATAAAGAATTTTTACAATATTTATCAATCAATTTAATAACTAAAATTTTTTCAGAATACTTAATTTACACAAGACAACAAAATATATCAATTTGAAAAAAGGCTTACTGATTTTTATTGTTTTGTATTTATTATTGATCAAAAAATAATATAAAATTCATGTGTTTTTTTTCTCAATAATCTAATTTATTTTAGATAAATTTCTTTTTTTTTTAATATGTTTATCAAATAGTTATTTTATCGTACAAACTGGCTTGAATGAAAATTATTCAAAGTGGCAATCGACTTTTGTCAAAGTCGACCATCGGTATGTTCAAAGAATAGTTCATTAGTTTTCTTGAAAAAAAAAGACATGTGATTACAAAAGAAAAAAACGAAACAATTATTTATAAAAATTATTGATTTTTTTTTCTATTTGAAGGAGGAACCATTGTGCCCGTAATAAAGGCACATTCGTATTATTATATCTATGATCAACATATATCATCAATCAATTCGAATCGATTATTACTGTTGTCCTTAACACATATTCGTACGTTTCATTCATCTGCAGTACTTTATAATAATAAATTAAAACAAGAAAAACCTGAAAATTTATTTGAAAAAGATAAACTTAATAAAAATGATGCGAAACAAATAGGATCAACAACGAATGTTCTAATCGTTCGACCAGATGCTTCACTAATTACTACAACTGATGCATCAGCAATTGTTAAACGTAAATCTCTTCGGCAACGTTTTGTTGATGAATTAAAACATTATTATAATGGTACTAAACTATTATTTATTGAAACAAGAATTGCATTTCGTCTTCTAAGACAAGTTTTAAATGGTTATATATTAACACGACGAGAACGAAAACAAGTATTAGAAAAACAAACATAATGTTTGTCTTCTAATATTTTTTAATTTTAGTTTACTCGTACGGTTGCTGATTTATTTCGACTTGTGCCTTTTTCTGTATTTATTATTGTACCATTTATGGAATTTACTTTACCAATATTTTTAAAACTCTTTCCTAATATGTTACCTAGTACATTTAAAGAAGCAGACAAAGAAGTATGAATATCTTTTTTTTCTGCTCTTTAATTTAATGAACAATATACATATTTTTTTTTAATAGAAAGAAAAATTAAAAAAACAAATAAAAGTTAAGTTAGAAGTTGCTAAATTTTTACAAGATACACTTGAAGCAACAGCATTAGAATCGAAAACGAAAAGTTCCAATGATGCATTAGCAACACAATTTGTAGAATTTATGAAAAAGGTATTCATTTGTTTTTTACCCTCTTATGATATGAAATTCATTTCCGAATGTAATCATATTTGTTAGATTTCAATCTTTTGTAAAAACTCAATTATTCAATAGCGAAACAATATTATGCGGACATGAGAAGAACCAATCATTTTTGGTTCCAGCCGTAACCTAAAATAAAGTTTGGTTTCAGTACCGATTCTAGTCAAAAAAGATTTTAAACCTGTCCGCGATCTAATAAAATGATCCGAGTCTATCCTAATCTCGGTACCGTCGGGAACCGGTACCTTCTTGCCTATATCTATTTATAACAAGTGAGTTGTGACAGTATGATATTCCACGCAAGTTTTACACGGTCATAAAAGGTATCGTTCTTAATGAATAGATGTCAGTCCTAATATTGGTCCCGATCTCCATGGAACCGAGACCGGAATCAGGACACCCTGATGATCTGAAATTTTCAAGCTATATTTCTAGACGTTTACCGCTTAATTATACGTATAAATCATTTTAAATTATTACTAAAGTTTTCACATTATTAAAATATCCGTACAATAGCAGTATGTCATGTTCTTTTTTGGCATATATGATATACCGTATATACTAATTTTATTATTTCATTATTTGAATTCGTTCTCGTTACGATCAATTATACTCTGTAGATAGAGCGTTTCAATAGTCTAAATTATTGATAAATTTTGACTTCATAATAAGAAATAAATTACAATATAATATAGAATGATAGACCAGTAATTAGCATCACAGTTAAATAATTCTATTAGAACGA